CCCTCTGCTCAGAGATGTAGCCAACTGCCCACAGAGCCCCTTCCCTGGTAGCAATAAGAACGAAGGGATGAGTCCTTCCCCCCCAAAAAGGGCACACCTGCACACCCGTACAGTTTGTGAACGGGGGCTCTGGGTCACCGAGCTCCACACTAACACGAGCCCTTCCAGATTCTTAGAACTGGTGCGCGTTTGCCAAGCAGACAGCACTGCCCAAGCCACCCTGCGCACTGGCACGATCCATTAAAGCTTCTGAGACAGAGCATGCACCATGGGGGAGCATGTGTGCATGTTGCTGGCAGAGCAAATCTCCTCTCTTTCCTGTAACAGGCACATTTCTCCTTCCATTTTAAGTGTTTGGCCAGTTGCGGTGACAGATGGAAAATCCCCATACCACACGGCATGTCTTCACTGCATGCTGAAAGGGAGGGAGCTGTCTACTTCCACTCATTTCCCCTTTTATGCCTCTTCCTTCCTACAGAGCCTAACGCTGCCTGAAGTTTAAAAGTGGCTCAAGTTAAACCCCTTTTTTTTTAAAAAAAAAATGCTCATCTATGAGAGCAGCTGCACCTCAGAAATTCACAGGAATTCACAGCTTGGAAAAGTATTCACTCAAAGGCCCATTAGTTAAGAGAAAAAGTAAAGTCTCTAATTAACAATATTTGTTCATCCAGTCCGTTTGTACGCGGTGCCTGTCGATAGCCACTCAAGAGACAGTGACTCTGCATGCTCTTGCACCAGCAAACCGAGGGAATTTCGATGCCTCCCAACAAAGCATCCACGTCCCCTACCTGCTCAAATGACGGATAATACACGGGATGCAACGCAACGGTGGGGAAGCAGATGACCAAGGCTGCTGCACTTTCTGTGTTGGGGTTGCATTGTACCGTGCCCATGGGGTTCAGAAGTTCCCCTTTCTCATCTGAAAAGCAAAGTATGTAAAAACTCATGAACCCAAATCTTCTGAAGCTTTGATCCCGAAAGCAGAGCACAGGTGGCCTCCAGCTCTGTCACTGGACATTGCCTGGCCCTGAGCAGCTCACGTCATTTTCCTGAACTCTCACAAGCAGGTACACATGACACCCTTAGAACAGCAGCAATCTCTTATGGCATACGTGTAATGTCAAGCAAAGCAAGATCTTCAGCTTGGCAGGGCTCTAGATGCCATCACAATATAGAGCAGTAACCGTACTGGGTCTGCTAGTCTCAACTGTTATGGCCCCTCCTCTAACTACTGGGCAGCAATGCAGAATGCAGGGCGTCTCCTGTCATTGTGGTGGAGACTAAAGACACAAAACAAGACAGTAGCTCTGTCTCCTGACATACCTGGAAAGGAGGACCACATGTGCAAGCAGCACTCCCCTGTTTTCAGCTGGTCCTTATAGTCAAAGAGCATGACATTCACCCAGGCGATTGGGCAATCCTGCAGAGCAAAGAAAGCAGCTCATTTGGGTGCTGTAACTGCAAAAGTTGCATGAAGGGAAGAGAAGAACTAACAGACAACTCCACGCAAAGCAAACCCCTCACAATAGCCAGGAATAAGAAGATACTTGATCTTTTCCAAGTCTGCACACTGCTACACAGAACGTGACAGGCAGGTAACTTCCAATTCAAGAGCACATAGGCAACAACCCAGGTAGCCACGGCTGTCTGCTTACCTTGTAAGTTCTCCTAAAATCAGAGTACAAGATGGCATCAAATTCAGATATTTGCCAAAAGCTGGGGTCTTTTGTGTAGTGCTGAATGGCACCAAACGCTCCTCACAAATACATCTAAAACGTCATCACCCAATATTTTGCATGGGCTGAAGAATCTCTAAGTTTCTAGCAAGGCCTTGCAAGTCTGCACTCAATGATATGTGAAGGAGCTACGACATATATACTTCACATATTTCACAGTTTGAGGGGAGGGAGAAGAACCTAAATTTTGAAACAGGGAACACAAAAGTTCGCATGATTTCAGAAAGCCAGACAAAGAATGCTGGATAGATCTGACAAAGGGAAGAAAAGGCTTGGCTCCTTTGTACGATAAGAACCACTATCTATAGAAATCAAACTTTATGCTGCCAATCTCCCTCCACACCCCCAAAATAAAACCCACAAGCCCAACCCAGTCACACACACCAGTCTCATTTTGGAGGTGGGAGACTCCAGCAAGTAAAGCAACTGGGACGTGGCCAAGAAAGAGAACCCGTCTCCCTGCTCTGACCCAGTTCCCTGCACCAGAGCAGACAGACGTATTCCACAAGTGACTTCAGATTTTCAGGTTCCCCAAACAGAACAGTTTACTTCATACACCAGTTTCAGCAACACCAGCATTTCACTCGGCTGCTCAGAAAACACCAAGGCTTAAGCACACGCCAGCACAGAAACCGACCTGCAAAGAGGCTGCGAGGCAAAATTCCAGTGAAGACGCACCCACAAACAGTGTCATGTTTGAAGGAACCACAGCATGACATCATCTTGTTCCACTGAGACCTTCTAGAGAATGCACCAGGTTTACCCTGAAGGTACACCAAAAGACTTGGTGGAAGTAGCAAAGTCAGCGTTTTCCTTTAATGCGACAAAACGCATCAAGTGGCCTCTCACAAACCTTTGAATTGATTTGATCAGACTAAGCATCTTCAGTAAAATCCCATTTGAGACATCAGCTTCCAGATCATAGGGAAAAGCCAAACAACACAGCACCACCGGCAATAACCTTTTCTAACGGAGTAAATGACACCAAACCGCAGCGCGCAGCCTGCCAAAACGCAAGGCAAGATTTTTGGTGGATAAAGTCCAGCAAAGCAACGATTCAGCGTCGTAAGGCCAGAAATATCTCCTGGATGACTTACAGAAACACTGAAAGCCAGCCCTCGGGGTGACATTAGCCCTCTGACTCATCTCAGTCAGGCTGCAAGCATGCCTGTTTTTGTGGTAGTAAATTATTTAGTCCCACCTATCTGCTCTGACAAACAGCATGCATGTAATTAACCTTTCAGTACTGTAAGCAAAGCAAGCAAAAAGATTATTAATCAAAGCAAAAAAAACAGGGTGCACTCCGACTGTAACTTCCTCTTACTAATCATTTTAAATCAGATCGGGGCACCTCACTAGGAGCTGCAGCTGACCATGTGGAAAAATCCATTCCTGCAGAGTTCAGCTCCAGCAAATACTGTAATTATATATTAAGAGCTCACCAGAATGCATCCACCTTTCCCTGGTAACCATGAATAAGATCCTCTTAACAACTCAACTAACCAGGCTGGTTTTGTTTTGTCAATCTGAATAACAAAATTTCCTTCTGACTGCTTCAAAACTGAAAATTGTTCCAGTGTGACCACAAAAACACAGCCTGTGGATGAATCACATATTCTGTTCAACAAAAGCCTCCAGCAGGAGTTCTGCTATTCTTAAGTAAAAATCCAACAATAAAAGGGTTGATCCTGCTCCTGGCCTCAAAATGTTTCCAGTCTGAAGTCTACAACCCAGAAACTGGTCCACACAAGCGGGACTCGTGGGTTGCCTGTTGCTCCCCAGACATTAACATACTGTAACCCTGAGAACCCTATTGATGTCAACACAACAAAGCTCAGTGAACCTCCCAGCAGTGAAAAGGAGCTAGCAGGGCTGAGACTAAAATCTTCTGTCATCACATTTATCAGTCTCTCATTTCTCTGCACTCCAGTAAAGATGGCATGACTAATCCTCTCTTTAAAGCATGGTAACAGTGTTTTTATGGCTGCAGAAACAATAATTTGCAGAGGAACAAATGCATTTGTTGCTCATAAAGAAAACTCTTCACATGCAAAGAGCTAGAGGCATCATGCTTAAGTTACAACACTGGGAAACCAGCAATTCAATTACAGACTGCACTTCTGTCTACGTTTAGTTACTGAATGATTAATGCACTGGAAGTTTTGGAATAGAGGTGAGGAAAGTGAGAAAAATCGCTACATCTCTGATTCGGAAGCTCAACAGCTTCCAAAGTGATTTAACACATTCCATCCTCAGTTTGCGGCATCTGAACAGTAACCTTGAAGATTCTGCAATTTCATTTTACCTCACCTAAAAGCTTTACTGTAACCAGCATTTACATTCCTCGTTTTCTTCTCCCTTCTTAGCTGTCAATTTGCTCCATGGGAATTTGCATGAAAGACTTTACTAGAAAGATGCAACACAGAAGATGGTTTAACCTCAACTACAAAACAAGGAAGTTGCAGAACAGCAAAACAGAGACACTAACACAAATGATTCCTCTTTATGCACATTCAGATGCTGGGCATGTTTCTTAATGGTCTTTCTGGAGAAGAAGTTACATTTAAACAACCCTTCCTAAAGGCAGCCATGCCTTAGCTTCCTGTTCCTGTTAAAAAAGTTACTGGCCATCATTCTGGAAGCTGTTTTATTAATAAAGTCTTCTGAAAGCAAAGAGCATTTGGTCCAGCGTGGTGCCCTGCACCCTCCAGCACTGACAAGCCTGGCTCAATCCCACACTGGCTCTACTTACAGCTTTCTTGGACTTCTTCTTGGTGGAACGTGCCTTCTTTGCCTTCTCGACGACAGCATAGAGGGCAAAGCAGAGCCGCGCCATACGGGGAAGATCACAGATGTTAATATCAAAATCCAACCTCTGCTTCCACACTGGCTCTGAGCATACGTTCACTTCAGAGCTTGACACGGTCTTGCACAGCATCTCATTGCCATGAAAGAGGCCCGCTTGTACCACCAGCTGAGGGAAGTAGAAAAGAGAGAATTCCATGAATCCACAGGGACTTGTCCTGTTTGCCAAAGACACAGGATTAGAAGAGGAATTGGACAGGGCATCCACTCCCCTGAACAGGATGCCCTACTCCTATCTCTTTCCCAGTTCACTGAGACATTAAGTTCCTCAATCTTCCCATTTACTCAGCTTCAGTAAGGGCATTGTTATCTTTTTACTTCACGTGGACTTGCAAGACCTGCTTAATCATCGCAAAATGCTTGGGTAATCCATTGGTAAGAGTGTTACAGTTTTCATCCTATAATGCCAGGCAACATAAATATTCATCACACCTTGCCCCCTGAGATGATGCAAAAGCTCAGAAACCCGTCACTCTGAAAGAGCAGGGCAGCCTCCCAGTGCTGGGCAAGTGCTTCTGCCGAAGAGGAGGCAAATCAACAGCGCAGGAGAAGGGCACAGGCAAAAACCCCAAACGGGCCTGCAGTGCCCTTGGTGAGCTGCCTCCAAGCACACATTTGCCTGCAAATCTACACCCCTCTTGCAGCCTGTCAGATCGCCGCACGGCTCATCCCTGACTTTCCCTCTGTTACGGTATTGATGCCTAATCGGAATCACAGGAGTCCTCCCCAGGAGAAGCTCCCTGCAAACGACGGGGCACCGGGCAGAAGAAATAACTATCTCACTGTCTGTTGCTTTATAAAGCCTTGCCCTGCAGAACACCTGTACCTGCCACATCTTCTTGCCCTGTTCCCTTCCTTTCCCAAAGGGCAGCCATTCCTCTCCTCGTTCGCCTGCTCGCCCTTCATGGCAAACACCTTGCAAATCCCAGGGCTGCGCTGCCTCGCGCTTTCCGTCTTAACTTCACCGGTCACCACCTCTCCCATCGTTGTCTCTTCTCAGAGCTGAATTTCCCCTCATCTGCTTTTTGCAGACTTCCCTGCCCCTCCACGTCACTGTCATCGATGTGACCGCAGGGCAGCAGCTCTGTTTGCTACTCAGAAACTTCTGCAGGGAGTGTTTCTAAGAAGGCACTGCTGGGCTGCTGGCTAGCAAGTTCTCTTCCTCTTCCTGTTGTGCTGCAGTTTAGAAACTGCCCAAAGGCTGAATGAAGCGTCTTGGAGGACCACGTGAGATCAAGCTGTCAGCCCCTGCTTTCCTCACCACACAAACAAGACAGACACAACTGGGAAAGCCAAAACACAAAACCAAAACCCCAAAGTGAGTCAGTACCTACCTTCATTCTCTCATCTGCATTGACCTTGCTGCCTTGCACCAGCTCAATGTAGAAAGACTGCTCTAAGGACCAGAGAGAACTGTAGTTTGGCTAGAAAAACAAAAGGGTTCCAATCAGAAAGAGATGCAACAAGCTTCTCAAGCCAGGGCCAGAACTCATCTCTCATCACATGCTTTTTGCTCCAACAGAAAAGAGCATGGCACCGCAGCTGGGCAGCACAAAGTCTGCAACAACCAGGGAAGCCGTGGAAGGAGCTGGAAGGCTGACGGGCAATCCCCAGCTCTCAGGCCCTGGCTAAGAACCCATCCCCAGAGAGGCAGGGACAACCAGCTGCTGTTCCCAGGCAAGTTCTCCGTCAATGGATGAGTCGAGGGTGACCCCACTGGGTCACTGTCCCTTTTTACCTTTTTCTTAGGGAGCGGGGGAGGCTTGGGAGCCATCTTCGGGGGGCTGGTGATACAGTTGGTTTGCTCATCTCTCATAGCAATGATGGTGGAGGAGTGCACCATGGTCAGGTGGGGCGTCAGGCCTCGGTGCAGGCAGCTGCGAATGTACTGCAAAGAGAGGACGGAGTCAGCGCCCGTGGAACGGAGCCAGGCAGGCAAGAGCAGTCAAGCAAATCAGAACTCACTGAAGCAGAAACAGGTGGAAGGAGTAAGGAAAGGACACAGCAACAATCAAAATCCAGTTTTAATTTATCTCCTCTTGCTTTCAAAACCTGCAACTCGCTGGACTTCTGTTGCCAAAATTGAGAATATGAAGTGCCTTTTATAGCTGACATTTCATAAACAGCTGCATTAAGGGAAAACACCAAGAAGGATGGAGCACTCCCAACAGCAGTTTGCCCTGCCAGAACACAGGATACAGGATTACTTGCCCAAATTTCAGGAAGAGAACCTCCAGCCCACCATGTAAACAAACAGATATTTCCAGAACCATAGACTATAAATGCATTTACACAGCACTTGGTACCCAGGCACGGGCCAAGATCACTAGCCCCCAAAACTGTAAGGATCTGTTAGGTTGCTAGAAGTATCCCTTGCCCTAAGTAGCATCCAGGTCCTGCCACTGATGTGCTGCATTCCCGTAAACAGACTGCCTCCTCAATGGAGGATAACACATCTCAATCCACCCTCCCAGCAAGGCTATACAGGAACAGACTGATTGATAAAGCAAGACACAAGGCTCACCTGGAACTGGTACAGGGGGTAGTTTCCATAGAGGTATTCACATTTCCCGTTCACCTGAAGGGTGTAGTCCTCTGGGTTCTCCACTGTCTCATGGCGGAAGACAGCAGCCTGCTTCTTGATAGCATAGCTCATTAACGTGATGGGGAACTCCTTTGGAGAGATCTGGAAAGTGAAGCTCTCCTGCAATCCCAACAACACACACTGTTAAATACTAGCAAAGGGCTGAAATCAGCACAAGGAGCAGCAGTAGCTCAGCGGATAGGTAACGACATTCCCGCTGCTGACAATAAAGAGAAGGATAGGGAAGGCAGAATTACCCCCCCACACACATTAGCAAATAAGTAGGGACGTTTGCCAAACTGGGCAGGAGCACGTTTCAGCAGAGCAAGCGCAAGGCTGGAAATCAGGAACTTCAAGTCCAGTTTAAGCAGAATCACCAGTTCGTGTGGTTGCTAGTCATTAAAAACCTTCCCACTGTCATTCCACCAGCAAGGCAGAGGGTGGCTAGGGTCACCATGCTCAAACACACTGCTCTGGAAGGCCTTTCTGCCATGGGGTGGCTCCTGCTTCATGCCCAGGCACAACATGCAAAACCAACATTAACCAAGGGTAGCAGGCAAGAACAGGGGCCCATGGCCAACACAGACCGATGCCTGCAAGCAGTGTATGCTGAGCATGAGCTGAGCAGACTCTTGGGCTTCAAAAGTAAAGGCATGTATTGGATTCTGTGCTCCTCTCCTACCCAACACCAAAAAGCTTTCCATCCCATGTACATGCAGCAACCTCCGCTACCAGCTAACCAGTACACTCAGTACGTGTTCAGGAAGGGGAACAGCTCCCTTGGCTGGAGGCTCAGAGTCTCCCTCCCAACCATCTCCACAGGCAAAGGAATCTGGAGAATGAAGATGAACACTGAACACATGGAAACACTGTCCACGCACACATTATCCTTTCTCCAAACGCCCAAAGGTTCCCAAAGGCAAAGCCCAAACCAGTTAAACATTGTCACAGAAAAGTTTGTGCTTTACCCCGCCAGACTGAAACTTGACGTTGACAAAAATGTTCTTGGTGGGGGTATGTAGAGGGCCAGTCCCAAGGCCTCTGGCCACGGGCTCCAGCTGCAAGGGAAAGCTGTACTCCATCCAAGCTGCCCAGCTGAGCTGCTGCCGCTTTGCTGCTCTCTCCTCGCAGAACTGGCACATTTTGGTGCGGAAATCATTCACCTCTGGATCCTGCACAGAGTCGAACTCATGCAGACCTAAGTGGAGAGTAAGAGAGAAAGACAAAGTAAGCACCTGCACCCAGCGGGGGAAATCAGCCTTCGATAATCAAGTGTCTGTGAAAACAGCCTTCCTAAACACATGCTTAATATTTGGCCAAAAGGAGAAGAGTCAGCCAAGCTACCAGGAACCGCCTATTGACTACGTACAATTGCACCGACGCAACTCCTACAGCCCTCTGCCAGCAGCAAAGATCACCCTTCTCAGGTCTGCACACACTGTTCCCTTACCAGACCCAGCACCGACCAAACTTGCTGATTGCATCATCTGCATCAGGACTCCATCACTATTCCATACGTAGCCAGGCTGTCTGGGACAGAAGCAAGTTTCACCTACAGCCAACACCCCTGCCACCGCGAGACCAACGATGGGGGAACTGACCTTTTCCTATGAGCAGGCTGATCTGGGAGTTAATAACCTTCTTGACTCGGTCGCCTTCTCGAGCCACGAGCCGCAGTACCGGTAGGAAGGCACAAAGCCGCCGTTGCTCGTCCTCCAGCTCTTGCTGTTCCGCTGTCTGGTTGATGCACGTGAAGACATAGGCCTCCGGGTCGCTGAGCATATGGTACAGCGGCTCATACTGCGCGTGCTTCCACACCACCTGGGCCAGACCAACAGCAGGGTGAAACCACCACCGCGCTGCCAGAACCTCCTCTTCCCCACAACCTCACTATCCTCAGAGACACCATGTGGCAAAGGGAACGCACGGCCAAGCCTTCTCGCAGCATTCCTGGACCGCCGATCACTGCTTTTCAGCCAAGTCTGGTGTCTCCAACTGGTGCGGAACTGCTGGGTAGATTTATTTGCAAGGGCCTGTAACTGACTTCCTTTTTTTGTGCTTGCCATTTGTTCCAGGCAAAGCAAATCCCTCAGGCTGAGTATTTAAATAACCCCCACCTGAGTACCTCACAGCACCTGCTGACCGCCAGCCTTCTCAAACAGAGGTATTACTCCCACTGGAAGCAAAATTGGGTTAAGCAACTTGCCTCCAGTAACATGAAATCTGTTACAAGAGCCAAGAACTCTTCTGAAGTCTTCTCAACACTATCCAGTTCCCAAAGATCCTTTGTTCCCAGTGGACAGCACTTCCACTTGACTGTTCATATTCCATTTCCTCACTCTCATCCCAAGCGCCTGCCACAGGAGACAAAACTCAGGATGCAGACGGGCCTCTGGTCTGACCCAGCGTGCCAACTGGCTGTAAAACACAGACCTGTAACTTAACAGCTGGAACCAATCAGCTCTACTTACAGGTTGTTTTTTCTGCTGGGTTTGGTTTTTTTTTACCTGAAAATCACAGCATGAGAAAACTTGGAATAATCTGGCACTGTGCTTCTGTCCCTTGTGATCTGTGACTCATCTAGGACAGGTTACTGCTGCAGAGAAAACCTTTTCCACTGTTTTCCTTCACTCTTCCCTACGCTTGCTTCCTGACCCAGGAAACATGGAAGCAGCTACTTTTCATTTACACATGGTTTCAGCATTTTACTCCTCCAGCGAAGCACTAAGAAAAATCCCCTCTATCATTCCCATTTCCAGTTTTCAGTATTCAGTTTCTGGGAGGCAAGAGAAGACTGGGCTGGCATCCTGAACACTTTGAGTCAGTCCAGCACTATTGACTATTTGGGGGTGACTTCTCTTACTTGCCTCCGCATACGCAAGAGCTTTCATAATGAAAAATCCAGTGTGGTGACTGGTTGGCTCAGGTGAGCAGTAATGGAACACAGTCCACAAGCCCTATGTGGCCAACTCAAATCTGCCCTCACTCTAGTTGTCATCCCAAGGTTGGACAAGCACCCAGAGAACTGAGCCTGACACCACTGGCACCACCACGAGCACACTGTTCCCGGCAGTCTCAGTGGCTAGACATGGGTTTGGAGGACTGCAGAGGCTGCCACAAAAGAGGGGCTCTCACAGTGAGTCACAAGGAACTGCCTCAGAGCAACACAGAAGAAACCCAACTTCCACTGAGTTAAGACCCAACACGTTTTCCCCAGGTGCTCCCCAAGAACAGACTCCTTGTTCCAGAAGATTGCAGACAAGACCGCAGAACAAAGCTGTTACCTGCTTGATGGTGCCCAAGCTGGCATTGCAGGACACAGAGAGGTTTAAGTATATGCCTGTGGGCAGCAGAAAGTCCACCTGGATGTTCTGGTTTTCCCCCTTGGACCAGAATTCCATAGGACAGTAAATGCCTGGGGGCATCCTGCTCACTTCTTAGCTACCACCTGCAAGAAAAGGGAAATAAGTCTGTTGCTGTTGACTACATAGTATCTCCTCAGATCTGTGCTGGGCTCTGAGAAAGTTAATGTGCAAAAGGACCCAGACAAAGGAAGGTTAGTATATCCTCATAGCTCAGGAAAATATGCACCTTAGTCAAATTTCCAGCTCAGTGCCTTTAAGCCACAGAGGCGTTCTTGCTATAGAATTTGCTTCTATTTCAATGCAAACCTTTCTTGATCTCTTCTAGACTGGGATTAACATCTACATGGGTATTTGGCAAATAAATTAAAGAATTATCTTCACTTGAGAATGAAGGCACTTCTCCCAACAGCTCATCTACAACCAAGTATCCAACAGAAACAATGAGTCCCTACCCCGGCTTTGTACGGCAATCCTCAGGCCACATGCTCCAAGCTCCACTTTTTTTCCAGAGCTCAGTTCTAGTCTGCAAGAGGGAGAAAGAGGTGTTGCCAGTTCCGAGTATTTATGCATTTTTATACACACAAATAATACTCCACTGTATATGCCCCCTCTACAAGTACAGCAAAAATGAAATCCAAGTCTGAGGCAATCTAAACAGGTTTGTTACTTCCATCTGCATCCTTTCACTTGGCAGGGCTCTACAATTTCTTCTCAGTGCATCCAAAGAACACAAAGAAGTGAAAAAGAACCTGAAGGCCATCAGGTACAAACTGTTGTTTTCAAACACAGGGTAAGTGCACACTCCAACAGCTAAAACAAAAAGCATTCAGCAGAAGCCCATCATATGGCTTCTTTCCTAAAGACACGTAATACAAAAGTCAGAGAAACCCTCATGCTCTATCCATGTGCCCACAAGAACATACTACAGCAGTATAAAACTCCAGTTTCCTCCACAGATGACAGGCTGCAGAGTGTGGTGTCCTCATGTGCAGGAAGAGCTCAGAACTTTTAGCATCAGCTCCTAGCAAGAGACTGAGACAGTGGCTCTAACTCCCTTCAACCACCTGAGCAGAGAAACCAGCTCACCTGAATTCCCTCTTACCAGAGAGCTTTTCCACCAGGTCAGCAGAGAAACATGCCAGTAGCACAGCCTGGAGGGTGCTCACACAGCTGTGGTTCGTAGCTGCTGTGGAAACCAAGGTCCCAGCCTCCTGCCAGTCTGACTCTCTGCTGGTTCTAAATTCAGCCCTGCACGTGCCCTGAGCAAGTCTAACAGTGTCACTTATCCTCAAGCCCATGAAACCAGTACAAAACTTGCCCATTCACAACTTAAAATATAGTTTTGCAGCTGTCAGACAGTGTACAAACTTAGAAAGAAATTGAGCAACGTGCTGAAGATTTGGGTCTCCCAAATCATGAAGTCCTGCTGGCAGCTTCTCGTGAGCCAGCCCTATGCTTCAGCATGACAAGAAGCCCAGCATCTTATCTGCCAGTGCCTGGGAGCACACCACTTCCCCATCAGCAGTGAGGCAAGGATTCCCAGAAATACGAGCTATGCTTTATCTGTCCTGCTTCCTCAGCGCACACGCTGTATCACCCAGAGACCGGATACAGAGACCACAAAGCCACCCATGTGCCTTAAGAGGGAGGGAAGTAAAAGGGGGAGGAGGCAAGGTTTACAAGTTCGAATACAGCAAAACAAGCTCGCCTCGTGCTCTGCTCATTAACAACAAAACCAGCAAGTTTCTAGGGCACCTTCTACTTCTGCCTTTCCCCATGGCAGTAAAAGAGACTCTGCTGACCAATGGAGATGGAAGACTCAATGATGGCTGAACTACTTCCTTCTGCTGAGCGTTTCTACCTGATGCCACATCCCATCAGATAGGAAATGTCTTATCTAAGCTCCTTCAGGCTTCTCCTTGCATTAGTTCGCGTGAAGGTAACAAAGGTCTATCTTTCCCAAAGAGGAGAGATGACCAAGGCAGAGCCGATATGCCCATGGGACTAGTCCATGCACTAGCCTGCCAGGACAGAACATAAAAACCCCACAACATCAGTAACAGAAGGCAGCATGTGTTTTGAGTCCACACACCCTGAGGAATAGAGTTTCTGCATAAATTTGCCTTTACGCGCGTGTAACAGACACATTTGAAACCACCCAGCCAATATTTAACAAGCCAGCAGTCAACATAAAACACACTAACACAAACCTCCTCTCTGAAGTTTATCAACCACAGCTCTGGTGTTTACAACATACAACTGCTGTTGAGAGGAAAAAAAAAAAGGTAAAAAAAAAAAAAGCAGCAAGCTAACAAGATCACACATGGAGTAGCGTTCCACAAACCTCTGTGAGGCTGCAGCGTTAGACAGACACGGAAGCTCTAACGCCCACAAACAGATTACAAAATTACTAAACCCCAGGACTACAAAAATACCTTTCAAGTTTATAAGAAATGAGTGGTGCAGAGCTCACAGGTGATGCGTGTCGCGTGGGAGGCAGCAGGAAGTCACTTTCATTGCAGGCATCGAGCTAGCTGGGGGATGAGACCACGGGAATTTTTATGTACACACGTGCTTGACATGTCTTTACCACACAGTCGATACGCTTGGCAGATCTGGACCAAACCAAAGCTTTCACAGACCCAGACCCATCTCAGCGAGTGTTCTGAAGGTGTTTTAAGCTCAGGCTTGAGGTCACAGGGTAAAACAGGTCCACTGTACACTGCGGGAAAGTCATCTGAGCATTGATAGATTGTAAAATTAACCTACAAATTCCCTTCCGAGAACAGGCTGGGAAAACTCCCGTAGCAGGTAAGCATGCCTTGAGACAGACACACAAGTCAAACCGTGACTGCACGTGGGAGTTTTGTAAGGGGACCCTCCCCTTACAGGGCTAGCTGGATACTCAGGCCCAGGTGCCAGCCACTTAACTTAATCACACAGAAAAACCATGCTGTATCTGCTTCCTTTGTGGCATAACGTAAAAAAATCCTGATTCAGGCTCCAGTCCCATGACACGGATGCAACCAACAGAAGCTCACGGTAAGACTGGCCTTTGCAGCTCTGCCTTCTGACCAGTATCGACAACCTGGCTACTTATTCACCTAAAAACGAACGCACGCTGGTGAGACGTGCTAGAAACAGCCTCAGGGACTGCCGGCCTGCAGAGGTGCAAGTGTCTGCTGTGCTGCCCCGTTCACCCAAACTGAGCAGGGACCTCCAACACAGCAGATCAGACTCAATGCTCTAGCCAGCCTACAGGATCCACAGCAAGCTGGACTGAGAAACCACAGCCATCCCCTGCAGACTGCCACCAAAAGTGACTCTGAGCCTGGATATTCAGCTAGCAGCAGCCTTTTTTTTCCCAAAGAACGGCTTTGCTGCCTTCTTGAACATCATTCATTTTGAGGTAGCATTAATAGGATAGATTCTGCTCTCATGTCAACAGAGGTGTTTCCTTTACAACTTCCATTAAGCATTCTGTAAAATACGAATCGGTGTCCCAGCTGTGCTGTTGGCCACTCTCTCTCTTCGAGTTCCTGGGACAGTGTTGTACTTTCAGTATAGACCTGAGTTGTCTCAGAGCTCTAATTGTCTCTGGTTCCTCCTTCAACATATACACACAGGTGTAAGACTTGGCCCACGAACTAGGTAGGAAAAAACTAGGACTCCTTGAAAAGGTGTTGAGAAGCATTCAAGTACTGAACAACCCCTAACATCAATGCTTTTTTATCTTCAGGGTTCATTTCTTCAAATCCTAGTTTAGAATATTCCAATGTCCTTTATTTGGTTTGCCATAATAAGACTTCTACCTCTAAGATCAACTTATGTTTTGTACATTGATCCCTCATATCCCACCACACAATTCCCTGAACCGATTCATTTGTTCTTTCAACAGTATTTTGTTGTTCATCCAACTCTATATAGTAGACACATAGTTTCATGGGTTCAATAACGTCTTTTATTAGAGATTTCTAAGCCCCTGATTAACCACCTTTACTTCCTACTTTGCTTATACAAACTGTAGATGTACAATGGAATCTGCCCAGGATAACTGGGCAAGGTGTGAAAATGCACTCACCTAACTCTTCAGGCCTCTAAAACATTACAGAGAATCCCCTTCCCTACCAGAGTGGCTGATATAAACCAGCATTTACGTACCAAAATCAGTGTCTTCCATGCATGGAGATGTCAGCAGAGAACGATGGATTTTTCCACCTTCCAAGGAAGTGTTCTAGCTACAAGGAGACTACAAGGATCAGGCTTTGAACAACCACTGGACTCAAAGAATCCCTTGGCTTGTGCCCTTCCTATTAGCAAATAAAGGCTCCTTTACTTTGAACATTTATATTGCTCAATGCCTGCCTTACACTTGCACACCCCCATAAAACAGGCTCACAGCGAGAAGTAACGGGAAGCAGAACTACACTAATGTAATCTGAACCGGAGCTAACCTTGTTTGTGTGCAGGGCCGATGATGAAAGGGGTTGTCAGCAAAGAAAGAGATAGGAAAGCAGAATGTACACATAGTGATAAAAACAGGCTGCAGTTCTATGGGGCTCTCAGCTCCAGAGCAACTAGAGAAAGAGCACCAGGGTGATATACCATCGTTCAAGCTCCGCAGAACCTTAGATCCAAGTAACAGTCAGAGGGAGGGACAGAGATCAGGTAAAGCAACTTAAGAAAAATGGAAATGTAAAGCCATACCTCATTCTGGAAGTAAACCAGTATCACTAGAGAGAGGCAGAGGAACGCCACCGATTAAGAAAAGCATCTGACGGAAGGACTCAAGGACCTGGCTCTGGTGGAAACTTTCAAACAGCCCTTTAGGCAAGCGCACAGTCAAACAACTATGCTTTCAGTATTGTCTGAGGAAACATCTAGTGAGAAACAACATGTTTAGTGGTTAAAGCAAGAGCTTGACAACTTGCAAAGTTCCATTCCCAACCCTGGCAATTGTTTGATGCGTGACTTCAAACAACTCACTCCTCCGTGTTTCAGTTTTCTCATGTGCATAACTGTATCTCACAAAGGATGTTGCAATTCTTGAACACTGGCAAAGTGATTCGGGATCTTTGCACTCTTGCTATTACTGCTAACACAGGCATAGCCTGGGAGTTGGAGGAAGCTGCAATAAACGAAAGCTTCGAGCTGAAGAAGTTGCTGAAATTAGTCTTTTTCAACTGCTCCCATGAGTGGACAACACCAGAAACCCAAGTGCATCTTGCCGATAAAAAAAAAAAAAGCCATACGTTTCTAATGACCCTCCACCACTACATCCAGCTTTCTTTACTTTCGGGTTCCCATCTCGAGCACATACAGCACACCTCGCTTAGGCGTTAAGAGAGTCTCTTCGGAAAGCCCTTAA